TAGGCTGGAGATACTGAGAGCATAAGATGGCTCTCTTGTGACTCTTGGTCCTGTAGGAAGGCCAGCAAGTTGACTTTGCGGGTCCGTCATACTGGGTATTGATATCTTTAGTATGTTCATAGCACCTGCCATGAACTTAATGAAACAGCCCTGTGAGATAGAGAGCATCATTGTTTCCCCTGTATATTGAGGGTGGGCAAGAGCAGCTTGCTTAAGAACCTAAAGCAATCACATTGGGGTAGGTTTCAGAAGGTTTGGGGAGCACATCAGTTTGCAGCAGGACAAAAAGTAAATTTAAGGTGTAATTCTAGTTGATTATGCCCTCACTGCTTGGAAGTTCCCAAACTTGGAGGGTTCTTAGATTCCAACACTTTCCTGGGCTGAAGCAGGTAGGGTGGGAGGTGCACTAGAAGCAGTCTTTGCTCCCCTGTCCTCTGTGCTTGGTGACACATTTGATGGGCTTTTTAGCCTGTCTGCCAAGGATATTTGGGGGGGGGGGCGGCGGCGGGGGACAGGATACCTTGTATCTTCACCTCTATCCTCCCAGCCCACTGGACTCCCCCTTCCCTCTCCCTCTGAAGTCATTTGGGGAGGCAACTGGGTCCAGTTCTCTCCCTGCTCGCTGCAAAAGAGGGGAAGCCAGGGTTGAATCTCCCCTTCCAAGGCCAGAGCACTGCCTGGGATTTTCTGAGCAGTTCTGTGGTCCTTGGAATGTTCTAAGAACATGGGAGAATGGGGTGAGGAGCAAAGCACACCACTAAGGACAGAGCATGCTCAGTGGCCATGAAAACAGCATGTGGGAAAAAATGTGGAAAACAGCAGGGAGGAATAGAAAGGAATGGAGTGTTCTAGAGGGGGCATGGCTGGCTGGCTGGCTGGAACAGTGAGCAAGATCCTCACTGCAACACTTCCTCGCAGGTGCCTCTTTTTTCCATTTTACGGTCCTCTGTGCCCAACCAGAAGGAGTTACTGAGGGTAGCTACTAAGGGCAGGGCTTTTCAGTGGTGGTGCCATGCTTGGTTCATGCTCCCCCAAAGAGACTCACCTGACATCTCCATTAAGGTTCCTTTCAGTACTGAGTGAAGATCTTTTCCTCAGACTATTAGGTTTAAAAACAAATCTCAGATCAGACAACTGTATTTTCTTTCAGATTTTCTTCTAGATTTACTATTTTAAGTTATCTTTAATGTTTAGCTGCTTATGCTGTATGGCTTTAAATATTTTCATTTACCCTCCAGAAAATTTCTTGTGAACGGATGGTATAAGACTGTCATAAAATAAAGCCAATTGCAAGCTTTCCTGGCAAAGTCTGGCTGCCTCCAAACTCCTCTGGTTTTGAGAAATTCTGGTATCAGAAGTTGCAGTACCAACCTCCTAACTAAAATTCCCTGTTATATCAGAATGTATTATTTGATGCTGCACACTAATAACAGTATATAGTAATAGGTCCTGATGGATGGTTCTGTATAACCAAATGGTAAAAACTGGATAGAGGGCAAGTGCCCATGAGTTCCCCCTGTCTTGTTCATTCCAGTTTCCTGGAAGCTTTGTCATTCTTGGGAACAAGTTAAAGAATAAGATGAGGAAACATATTTGAATAATATGGGTTGGAGACATACTCGCCCCTTCCCCAAGTAGGACTCCTTCCATTCACAGTGGAAACTAGGATCCTGCAAAGGTTTTCCCCTGGGGAAAAAGCAAAGGAGGCAATTTTCTTATGTTTCTGCCACTGCTATGCTGTAATATGAATTCCCTATTCCTCTTGAAACAGCATGGCTGTTGGAACTGGGGGCTTCAGAGGGAGGAAAAGTTGGAGAAAATTGCTATGCTAGTCTCTTTCTGCAGCAGTGGGACTTCATTGAGTACAAGCCTGGATCCGACACACTGTGCTCAAAGGTGTGGGTTAAATTATGTGAGCTAGAAATATTTAGAGAGCAGGAGGGAAAAATAGAAATGACATTCATTAGATTGGTTGCTTATCCCCAACTATAAATGCTTGCCTGATTTAATAGGTCTTTTATTGCTTCTGCAGATTAGCTGGATTTAAGCTTTGTTTGCCCTTGGAATCGAAGGAATAACAAAACTGGAGAGTAGTTGAAAATACAAATCACAACTTTCCACTGTACCTGAAAAGTGCTGGAAGCCACATTCCCTGTGCTGCTGACCTTCTCGTTCCTAGAGGAAATCTGTTTTGGCATCATTTCTGGTCACAATGCAGTACTGTAAGCTGTGGCAGCGGGGTGGCCTAAATCACCTTTCCAGAATCCTGCCCCAACCCTTTCTTATGAAAAAGTCCTAGAATGGGTGAAACCAGTTGGGCAAGTTTAGCCAGGCTGCTCCCCTACTCTTAATGGAGATGGGCTGAGAGATCGCTGGAGCAGGTGCAGGGCTGATGTGCCTTTTCTCTGTTTCCAAAGGAATGTGCTGATTCAGAGGTCTCTGAAGCAAGCAGCATCCATACTTTGGCAGATCTGTGCTAAAACTGGATCTGCAAAGGTGGTGGCAACCGGGGCGGGGGCAGGGGAGGGGACTTGCACTTTGGGTTCCTCCAGAGCTCTGATGGAGAACAGAAATCTATTCAAGGGTGAGTACTGTGGATCCCATCGGACACTCAGCCTGTATATGTGTGTGAATAAATCTTGTAATACAGAAATCCTGTAAGTTTCCTGTGACCTTCTTCTAAAGGACACTGAAGCCTTAGAACCACTAAAATTTGTCACTGCTCAGATACGATATTTAGCAGTCCAAATCCAGAATGTCTGAGGCAACGAAAGACTGGTAGTTAATGTGGGAAAGTGTTTAAAGCTGAGGAAATAAAAAGAGGAAAAAGCACTGCTTCAATTCTTGGTTTTGTGACATAGGAATTATGACAAATTGCCTGCACACTATTCCCCTGCATAATTTGGCTTTTGCTTACAAGAAACACATATGCTGCAGCTTAATTGGAGATGCAGCCATTTTTCCACATGTACAGTGCCTCCTGTGCTTAATCGCCTGTGTCAACTAGGATTTTTACATTGCGTAAAAGACAAAGATCATGCGGTCAGGCTCGCCATATGCACACAAGGAAGCTGAAACACAGTTGGAAGGCAGTGAAGGGAAGAGATCAGTTTTAGGAAGTATTTCAAGTGAAGAAGCAAACTTACTCTCTCAAATGCATCAAGCTTATGTGGGGTGGAAGGGGGCGTAGTCACACCAAGCCGGGAAATGATTTTTTTTTTTTAATTAAAGAAAGCTCAGATTCTGTATATTACCATAGTTCTGGGGACCAGTGGTTTCTACGGTTTTTGGTTCCAACAGTGGAAAAACAGTGTTAGAAGCCTGGAACAGAAGCTTTTGTTGAAGCTCCATGTCTACAGGAGGAGGAGGATGGCAGGTTAACTGGGTTAAAAAAATACCACAACCAAAAACAGAGGGAAAGTCTTGTAGTTAAGGGAATAATGCCTCTCAGAGAAAATGTAACAGTGGCTTCAGTGAGTTCTGTTCCTGGAACTAAAGGAACGCAGAGATGACTGAAGAAGGGCCAAGAACTCCTTGTACACACAACTTCCACTAAATGCACCGAACTGCTTGCAGCATGACCATTTGCTAACCATGAATTTCAGAAAAAACAAAACAAAAAACAGTTCTGAGGACAGTTCTTATGGTAACTAAAGGTGGTGAGAGGCTCATGTTAGGTGTAAACAACTACAAATTGAGTAAGAACCTTTTTGGCTGGCATCCCATTGTTTTCAGGAGCATCTGTCTTCATGAGACAGGCTCATCCTGTCTTAAGTTTGTCCACCTGAATTTCTTTTCCTTTAAAGTCCCTTTGCTCCTCTTCAGGGATTAATTTTGTATTAGAACTACACTTAGGATAAAAAGTACTTTTAAGATTAGTTTGGAGGGTGGGAGGAGTTTTGAGAAGGACTCAGCACCCCTTCTAACACATTAATCCTAACCATACTCCTTATTTCTCCACTCCTTTATAAAGATTCTGTGGCAAGCCAGATTCTGACACAAGGGTTTGTAATTACCTGGTTTGCAAAGGCAAAACCATCCGTCATGGGTTGCTTAAGCCATAATGTCTCACATATTACATACTCAACCACTGTCTGGAACTTATGGTGCTGTCTGATCCTGATTGCTGGGGTCATTATTTGAGGATTAAGCAACCCTTGTTTAACTCATTGTGAGCTATTTGCTTATCAGAATTGTCCCCTGTTACAACAATCTAGTTTGGTTTTGAGAACCAAGCCAGAGAGTGTATCTTGAATAAGCTTAGGTGCTGGGGCCAAACAGCTGGGCTTAAAACAGCCTGTCCTTCTATGTCTGAAATTATTTGTGAACATTTAGTTGACTACAGTCAAAAGTAAAAAGAGTTAAACTGACCTTGACTCTTCCAAACTTAATTAGGGTCTCAAGCCCAAGCTCTAAGCACACCTCCACCCCCATACACACTAATATTTTATTCCCTCTAGGATTGATCCTGGCTCAAGTCCATCCACAGCTAAAACATTAAAATGTTTGATAATGCCAGACTATTCTAACAGTTTCTGTATTTCCTTGGCATAATATCGTATTTTTTATAAAATCCGATTACATGAAAATATTAATGACTTTGCTGCTAAATAAAATAATAAAATCTGGTGTGCTTTATGATGCTTTGTCTGAAATAAGTCAGCTGGTAAGTCCCATCAAACAATAGTTTATTTCCTAACAGGAAGCAAGGACTGATTTGTTTTTCTTTTGTTTGCTGGTGCCATATGCTGTACTGCCAATTTATTGTCTTAAGTCTGTTGTTTACCTTTTAAATGGAATGCACAGCAGGGGACAGTGGGAGAGTCAAGGTCCTTGAGCAACACCAGGAGGAAAAAAATAAGGGCATGGAAGACCAGTTTTATGGTCCTTGTTGAAACAACCTTTTTTTATTATTCATGGGGAACTGAAAAAACAAAGAAACTGGTGACCAAACACAGTTTCACTGTGGGTTTATTTACTTGGTCATTTTTTGTCCCTAGGTACATGATCCTGTGGTGAAATTTGCCAAGTGTCTCTGCAGCGCTTGGCGACATTCTGCTGTGATCTCGGTGAGGGAGTATGAGAAATGTGTAAAATGAGAACAGTGAGCTTTGTGCGGAGAAATACTTTAAAACAAATACATGTTGAATATTTATATCCTGCCTTACTAGGCCCAAGTATTCACGAGGTGGCACTTTAAAGTAAAACAAACTTCTGTACACAATCTAAATCATCATTGGAGAGTGTTCTCAATGATCATCTGCAGAGGAAATCCTTTTATGAAGGTGAAATATATATACATGGGTTTGGGTCTAGCCTTAGTTATACTTACAATAAATCCAGGGAAATCACTGGGATCTATACGAGATGTGATTAATTGTATGCCCCACATTTCATGGGCTTAACTCAAATTATATTTTAGGGGTGTTCTGGATTCCCTCAAGATAGAAAGTAGACTTGGTACTGGAGGACTGCTGTTTAATCAGTTACAGCTGATCAAAGAGCAATGTGGTTTAGGAGTACACCCAGCATACAAAAATATTTGTAGCATATTTGTAATGAACACATTTCCTTGGAGATACAACATTGTTTCTGTAATGAGGCCTAGTGTCATGGTTATATAGATCATGCTCTGGGTACAGTAGTCAGTATTGTTCCCTTAAGGCAATTTTGATTAAAGCTCTCTTCATGTTACTTGTCTACAGGGACAGGGTTAGGAAACGAGGAAAGCAGCAAGGGTTCCAGGAGAAAGCCTCTGTACAAACAGTTCCCTGCCCACTGGAGTGGGTAACAGAGGGAGCTGCAGGTCGAGGAAATGGCACAACCCCTTTGTGCAAGTTTTTGCCCTTTCACAAACAAAACAAAACGCAAAGGGGGCTTGATACTTCATGAAACGGCGGGGGGATCAGTAAGGTTATTAGTCCTTCATGGAGACTAATTGAGAAATGTTTTGAACTGCCTTCAGCAATTTTTTTTCCTCTGAGAACTAAGCAACTTTTTAAAGTGCTGTTGAAGTAGGCTATAGTTGTGGGTCCAGATGTCTGTTAAACGCCTTCTGTTCCAGACGGCATGTTCTCTAGGGGCATCTGAGGTTCTTCTTGGGATGTCTCTGTCTTTTGCAATAAGGTAAGCAGCAACTGGAGAGTCTTTTGGGATGCTCTCCCTAGTAAGGCTCGTCTTGCAGCATACTTGATTGCAGCGCCAGGTGAAGATCGTATTTTTTCCCCTTTACAACTTCATCTCATATGCAGAGATAGGGTAAAATGTTTTATTGTGCTTCCACACTTTTATGTATTATGTTTTACTGTTCTTTAATAATTATGGTTGTGTTTATCATGTACTTTGTTCTTAATTGTGGTAAAACTGTGGGATACAAACGTAGAAGATAATATGCACAGAAGTATTGTATGTTCTAGCAAAATGCTCAGAGGCCTCTTAACGTATCTCTATTTGCTAGGGTCATTTCATACATTGAAGATGTTTGTATTATGCCTCAGCAGGCAGCTGTATAGGAAACTGCCTTAGGAACAGCTACTGCCTGTTTGTACTAGCGTTGTTGGAGAAATCGACAATTCAAATGTGTTCAGATTTCTATGAACCTGATTTTGATTCTGAGTCATGGCAATTCCATAGATGTGCGAACCAGTTTATTACCTGGGAGACATGAGATCTGCATAAATTTGCACTTGTGCTAATGTGCGTTAGTACAAGGACATATCAGTGTCAGTGCAAAATGCACACTTGGAACTAATGCAAACTAATGACAATGTGTGAAAGGACAAGCTTGTATTTGCTAATACAATAGACCGAGGACGTAATTTTTGAATTGGCAGTCTTTACATGTAACTTATGAGTAGACAAATATATGGGCATTGGTCTGCCTATGCACAATTATGCCTAAGAACGGCAGCCATATATAAAATACTGGGGGAGGGGGACTTTGCATGTTTGCGTTGTAATAGATATAACCATTTTCTTACATAAGGTTTCTAAGTTTTAATTTTTTTGTTTTGATTTATTGAAATGAAAAAATGAAAGCTTATGTGCAGTTATGCTAATACATGGTGACGCTAACATGCATTCACACAAGTAGAATGCAAGACTCTTGACAACCTGCAAAACACTGGTAGGTTTCTCACAGGCTCCGTGTGTGCCTCATTTCTACCGACAGGCTGTTAGATCATAAGATGAGTAAGTTTTTGATACCATCAGTCATTGTACCCTTCTGGACAGGCTGTCTGACTCAGAATGTGGGGGAACTGTGCCGCAGTGATTTTGCCCCAGTTTGGATGTCTCATTCCAGAAGGCGATGCCAGTGGCCGTTTTGCCCCACAGCAAGCATGCTATGGGCCTCCTTGGCACCCTAGTTTAACCTGTGCTTTTAAATACCCGCATGAAACTATTGGGAAATTTTATCTGACGATGAGTGTTGAGATGTTACCAGTAGGAGGAGGATGCCCAGCACTCTCATCCAATGACGGTGAGGCACGTTGATGTGCTGAGCCAGTGCCTGGGCAGAGTATGGCTGAGGGCAGTGAATTAAGTCGATGAATTAAGTCTTGTTCCAGATAAGGCTGAGATACCTATTGTAGGTGATTCATATGGCCAGGTAAGTGGCATTCAGCCTTGCACTCCTCTTTAAGGGACAAGCTAATTGTTTGGGTGTGTTTTTCAATTCCCCACTGTCTCTAGAGGTTGACCTCAGTGGCTCAAATCACCTTTTACTACCTTCAGTTGATATACCAGCCACAACCCTAACTGGACAGAGAGAGCCTTGCGATTGCTATTCACACACTGGTAGCCTCTTGTTCGGACTATGCAAGAGATTTCTATGTGGGGCTGCCTTGGTCTGCAACTTCAGTTCATTCAAAGTAGGGCAGTTAAATTGCTAACAGGGACCAGCAACCACATAATGCCAAAACTTTGTCACCTGTATTAGCTGCCAGTCCATTTCCAGACCCAATTCAAAGTGCTGGTCTAAACACGTAAAGCTGGGGTCTGCACCTCCCTTGGTGCCCACTAGTATCCCCTCCTCTCCTGATTGTGTGTGTGTGTGTGGGGGGGGGGAGGCGTACTGGGAGGCTGGCCTCCTGCCAGCTTTGTTTTGAAGACCAAAGCATCCATTTGTCATTTATTTGGGAACCTTGGACAAATTATTGTCCTTTCAGTTGCACTAGTTTGCCCTCTGGAAACTGAGTGTTTCGTGACCAGCCAGGATAGCCATTTTACAGGCATTTTGTAAGAGCATTTCTCTAAATTTAGCGCTCTCTAAATTTCTGGTGTGTTTACTCAGCCCAAAGGGTGTGTGGGTGTGTGTGGGGGTGTGTACGGGGGCTTCTTTAATGCCTTAAATGTCTTGGGTCCAGGTTATCTGAAGGAGCATCTCCTAATGATTTGAGCCCTCCCCCAGGTTCAACTGCAAAAGCAGGTGGCTACAAAAGGGACTTTTCAGTCAGACAGTCAGTCCATGGGATGCTGCCCACTCCAAGGCTTGCCTGGCACCTTCATTATGGTCTGTCCGGAATGAAGGTGAAGACCTTTGGTTCTCCCAGGCATTTTAGTAACTGCTTTTTAGACTTTTATATCCTTACACTTTCATGAAAGGGTTTTTACTCTTTGCTGCTAATTTTAACTGGGTTTTATTATGCACTTTTTATTATTGTTTGTATATTTTAATGTACTGTATGCCATCTGGAGAACTTGGTTATTGGGTAGTTTAAAGTATGATTAGTAAATAAACAGAATTAAATGACGGAATTTGGCATTTTGGTTTCGACTAATTTTTTTTATTCATCTGTGAAAATACTATATTTTTGGAGTGAAACTAATAAAATACCAGAAAAAAAGGAAACACGTGAGCATTAAGTGACTAGTTACAGCCACATAAAGCATTTCACCTTCATTGTGTTCAAGCCAAGAATTATGCATAGCTGCAGTGAAAAGGCAATATAAAGAACATTTGAATCTTTACATATGTGCAATCTCAGAATACAATCACAATGGTAGCTTCTTTAAGACCAGTAGACATCAAATCAAATAGTTCCAAAGCAACAAAGAAGGGCATTTATCATTTAAGAAATAGCCCAAATAATGTCTAGATGCTAGTATTTTAAAAGAATAGAAATAACAAAAATTTGCTAACCAAATAAAAGACCACAAAAGGAAAAGCTCTTTCAATTCCAGAAAAGCACAACAATAAATTATATTAAATTTTAATTAATGCTATTAAAATTAAACATTGTGTTTTAGGAAAACATGGGCACGATCCTGCCAAACCAAAGGACACTTCTATCCCATTGACCCAAATACTACAAAAATCAATGAGGTATGAAATGTACAACTTTTCAAGGACTCTGTTCCATTTCTACAAAAATCTTTAAAAGCTTAAATAAACCAGGCTGTACTGCATATCTCAAAAGCCTTCTAAAGGCCTGATCTGTGGACTGGCCATCCATCTCCAGAGCACACAGGATCCAGGGTTACAACTGAGTGAGAAGGCAACACAGCCACCCTGACCCCTGGCCACCTCGCATCCAGTGCTTGGGAAGGGATTCGGCACAGCAGCTGTCTGACCAACGCCTCGGAGACCCTGCACAGGCTGTCCCCCTTCGTAGCAACACTTGCCCTGGTGTAGTTGTGGAGGAAGCAGGGCTGGGCAAGCCTTGTGATCCGCAGGTCCTGTACAAGGCTGCAGCGAAGTTGGCCTGTCAGATGATTATAATGAGCAACAGAAGGAAGAGTTTTCTGAACAGTGGGACAGAACCAGCTAAATCGGTCCTGCTTTTCATGCATAAAATCACACTTCAGTAGCACAAGCCAGTTACTCTACAGCAGCTTAAGCCAACACAGAGGATCCAGATAGTTGGGTGTTTGTCTTACAATAAGCACCAGCTTTGTAACTCTTTCACTGGCTACCTAAGCGCAGCACAAATATATGAACGTCATGTTGGCATGGGGTTAAGCTGTGCATCACAAACAAGTGATCAGGGTGAAGTACAGGCACTTGACAGTAGAATGTGCGTGGCTGAGCCTCTACTTGTCCAAGTGTAACAACCTCCGCAAGTGGAAAGCTGAACTTCTGACTCTGCTCCTCGATCTTCGCTGGGGTGCTTTCCAAGCCAGGTCCAGTGCCAACATCCCACATGTCTGTTCCTGCTGTATGAAGGTCCTCCATTAACTGTAAACCTGAAATCCTTTGCATAAAGAAAATGGCTCTACATTGCAATGCCATCCAAGACCAACAAAATAATAATTTTTAAAATTAGGGTATAAATGAGTCCAAGTTAAGCCCTGTTAAGTCCCACTACTTTCAAATGGGAAAAAGTTAAACATGCATTTAACTTTTCTTCCAAACCAAGTGGCTTAAATGTAGTTAACATGAGCTTACACTTGGTTTTTCCCCTGCAAACTTGCCTAAACACATTTGCATTGACATTATCGATTCAGTGAAAGTGTTAGTTCAGAATCGCAACCCTTCAAAGCAAAAGACTGAATTTTGCCACAGCAGTCCTGTTCAAGCTGCAACTTTATTATGTGATGCCTGAAAAGGCATAGGCCATTCTCAGGCCTCCCTCAAATTACCGGAGACACCACCAATTTCAAAAACCTCTTGGGGGTAGCAGGAGGAGGAAGCAAGAAGAGGTGGCTCACAGTCAGCTTTAGACTGTTGCAGAACACTTGGACATAACATGGATAATCTTCTTGTTACACAGAAACTCCCAAGTTGTGGTTGCCTAGCCCAGAATTCTGCAATTCATGTGAAGGCCGCCAGATCACAGGCTCCTACTGTAATGGAAGTTTCTTAAACTGGGGAAGGAGTAGAAAGAGAGGATGCATGGGAAGAATTAGGTATGTTTCAAAAGCACTGGATGGTATTTAGTGAAAAGACTGTATCTATTAATAGAGAAGAAGAGATAGAAGCTTATATATCTTAAAACTGTAGCAATCCCTTACTCTTCCACATGTCAGTATTGTAAAGTCTTTATGTGAACTGGGCTATTAAACCATGGAAAAAACTTCTAAAATGGAAACTCTGCATAGTTACAAAATAGTTCATTTCATTTAAAAACCATTGACAGTTGGAGGCAAACCTTGCAATTTGCTTTTTGGTGAATCCTATTGCTGAATAAGATTATTACATAAGCAGTGGCATATAGGCTCAGCAGGAGTGTTGAGTAAAGAGTTGTATCTTAGGGAAAAGAAATATATTAACATCTTGGATTAAACATTCATCTGACAATCTTAAGACAGAAATTAAACACATGTACATAAGGAACACAGCAAAAAAGTAGTTAAAACTGAGCATTTGTAGGGCAGACTGCTAAAGAACAAGGCACTTTTAGCATCTTCATATCTCAAATCAGTAATCGTGGTAGTTGGATGATGGCTCTCTAGCAACTCCTGTCTCCTGCAGTCCCTCTGTTACTTACAGTTATCACATTCCCCCAAGTGGTATTGGCACTGGGCTGCCTTCTGCAAAGACCTAACACTCTGTGGCGAGATCATCCTTGTCCAGGTAGATCCCCAGAATTTGAGGCAAGCTGGTAAATGGTGCTAATGTGACACAGAAGAGGTTGTGATGCCCCGTATTCTGGCAAGTAAAGAAGTGTCTTCCTGTGTGACAAAGGTGATCTTGTAGTATATATCAAACAATCAAGTCTGAGATTAGAATTTGGCTGCAACAAGCACAAAAAAGATGCACATGTATCTTGATAGCTTTCTTGCTGGCTGAAATGAGTTGTTCAGACAAAGTACTGGAAGCCTTCTTTTGTCATAGTGGTATGCAGGCACACTGAATTGCACTAGAGTAACACTTTCTGTTGCTCTGATCTCATACAATGTGCAATTTTAAATAAAATGGACAAGTGAAGATATTCCAGGGAACAACCCTAAACCTCAGTTATAGTACATCTCAACTCTCCCATGTGCACTGATGCATAGTTCCTTTTTAGTAATAAATAGTAAATTAGCAGCAACAAGTAACACTAAACCTCACATAGCAAATGCAAACACTGAAACAACCCTTGTACACTGTCAAGATGGAACATTAACCTCTTGTCACCATGAAAATGCAGAGCTAGATCACCAAATCCTACAAAAGGAAACATGGGATCGTGTAGTTCAAGCAGAATGATGACAAAGACTGAAGAGTCATGTGCCTCTAAAGCGATATGGCTGCCACATAGGTGGACTTATCTGAAACTCAAGCCTGAATTCTGTGTTCCCTAAATAACGCAGCAGTTGTGAGCGCAACCTGTTCTGTGTGGGCAGGCACCATGCTGCAGTGGTAACGCATGCAAAGATCCAGCTGAGTAGCAGCACTGGCATGGGAAACATTTGTGCGATCCAGGTTATTGAAGTGATCAGTCTTTGCTTATGTTATTCCTGCAACGTGGAGCCCAAACACATGGAAGCTATTTTTGGTGCTTACTATAGTGCTTAGGGAATACATAAGTCAGGCCTTGGCTTTCACTGCAGTCGTGTTTACAAAACATGCTTTGGGATGATTGTAAACCTGCCTAGCGGAATTAAAGAGCCTTATTTTACTTGTTGTGAGATTTGTTATAACAGAAGAAGAAAAGCACATGAATCTGTGTTTCACACACTTCATGTACCATTTAGTCCTTAGGGAAAATGCAGGATCTCTGATGCTTCATCCTGAGAATCATGTGTTCATACAAGGACAAGGAAAACAATATATTAAGCTGAAACAATAAGCACAATATCAGCTGAAAATCAGCACTTTTACCGAACAAGGATAGCATTCAAAATATAAACTTACCAAGAAGACCAAGAAATCTAGAACTTCAATCTAGTGAAGTTCTTAAGTAAGGCAATCAATATTCAACCAGAGTGTACATTCATTAAGGTTTTTTAAGAGCAAACAAAGATACTCGACAGTATGAATGTATGAAATATAGGCACAAAGTAGGTACTTTGTTCAGCATGGAAAACAGCAACTAAGCAACTTTTGATAGAGTGAGCAAACCACTGAACAATTCAAATAATATTGTTCTATGAAAAGGTGCAATATTAAGCAGTTTGATTTTGGTTTGAAGAGATACATAAATCATGTCACCTATTATCATTTATAGACTATTCCACTGCCTCATTCTAGTTCTTCCCAGTTATCAGTAAGGTTGCCTTTACTTTGTCGCCGAATACTGACCAACCTTCCAGCTGATTTGATGCTCCACCTTGAACTATTTCCTGAGCTTGCCAGGTTTGTGTATTTTGTGGAGCTTTTGGTTTCATCTTCCCAGCCTGACCACGTCGGAGAGTCACTTAGAGTGTTTCCTACATCACTGAGGTGGTCTCCAGCAGGGATCTGTGGTGGCTCCCATCCTTCAATCTCATCTGGCTTTCTGGTCTGGACGTTCTGCTTTATCACCAAACTATCCCAAAATCCTGTTTTCTTTTCTGATTTCACATCCTCTTTTGATTTTAAACTTGTTCTACAGAAAGATAAAAGGAACAGACACTTCAGGGGAAGAAATTTAAACTCTATATATCTATGACTAAGGCGGGCCAGAACAATTTTGCCATTATCCTTCTATCCTTGTTCCTTATCCTTGTTCAAGTCTCTCATTATACATATTTTATTAATGCAACTATTTTGCATTACTTATGCTTTAAAAAAGGGCTAACCACAGAATGAACTAATACAAGATTAATCAGAATGAGATACATTTAAAATAGAGAAGGTGCAAAAGTTATAGCCCTTTTGTGCGAGAAGCAACAGTCTGATTGTTGGGTACAGTGCTGGCGGCAGATTGGACCACCTTTTGTGCTGCTGTGTGCAAGTATGCTCTTTTAAACATTTGATACCATACTGGGCATCTGATTTCAACTGACCCCTATAGCATTTTGGTTCAAAGGACTGCCATAGAGCTGCATCCTCAAGAAGGCCTGTTCTCCCATGAATAAGACACTTGGTTGCAACACATTGTTTTTTTAAAGGCCACTCCACTTTAGCAAGCCACCTACAAAATGCCTTTCCTACCCGGATGCAGGTTACTTAGTTTGAGCAGAATCTTGATATCAGAAGAGTAGTACCAGTGAACATTGAAATGTAAGAAGTATCTCAACTTCTGGAATGTTGTCACTTTTTCCCTAATACTGTATATTCTAACTGTAATTAGATTCTAACTGATTGTTCCTTTAGGGAATAATCTCCTGCCCGATGTCCTAGGTGATATATGATACAATGGACTTCTATCTCTAAGGTTGCTGATGAATCTGCACATTCTTTAATCCCCTCCCAGCCTCTATGGAAACCTCTGTGGTGGATCCCTCTCGCTGACTTCAGGGAAGAGGAAAACAGCAAGGTGGGAGAGAGAGACACTGTGATCCAACAGATTCAATAGTCTTTCACACCTGGCACCACGACATCTCTTTTTAGGAGGACAGAAAAGTAAAATATGCTCCTGTCATTTCTCCCACTCTGCTGGCAAGAGCTCATCAGGGCTTTGGAAGAATGGGGAATTTTGTGACTGGATTGCTATGTTTGCATTCCTTATTCATAGGACCGCACTGTTCATAAGGCGTTTATAGCACTTTGCATTCCTATATATATACATACCCTTTAGATTTTGGAGATTTACATCCTGTTAGTAATTGCTGTTCATCATCCTTATTGAATATGGATGTTACTTCTTTCCAGCCCCGAAAACCTGCACCTTGAACCTAATAATAATAATAATAATTTTTAAAGTACATAAAATGACTATTGTAAAGATCATGTGCTTAAACATGCAATATATCATAAGGTAAATATAATGTGGGAACTCTTGTTAAATCCTGGCTACAGTGACTAATGCAAGGTAAAGCAATGAAAGTCAGTCATGCCTTAAACCTTACAAAGAAGACTTCTGTGGGTTAATTATCTGGATTCATACTTCAATGAACCTTGGGACTGGTAAATATTTATTCAAAAGCAGTCCCATATTTTTCTTCTCTTGAGACTTGTAGGTAAGTTCTTCCAAACAAGGCTTCCAGTATCTATAAATACTGCCCTACTCTAAAGTAGAGACCAACTAGCCCATGCTGCCTCCTGCCAATGCAAAAAAAAAAAAAAAAAGCAAGAGGCTGCATGTTGCAGAACTAGGACTGCTGAGCTGCAATACTTATGTATTTATTTAATATTTATGAAAGTTACATACCCTTTAGTGACAAATGCCCTTGGGGAAGAATATCCACCCAAAATAACGAGATCACCAAAACAATAGGGCAGCCAATGAAAATACTGAAACATTAATATTATTAAAGAGTCAGCAATAAAACTCAGAAAAAGTTTACAAATTCAAGATTAAATCCCTGCCAGAAGCAGAAGATCTTAGCCTAGCACCTAAATGTATATAATAAAGAATCTAGACAGAGGCCTTTGCTTTTAATCAAAAGTTTCTGGTTTGCAGGTTCTGTCCCGTTCATTGCTTTCTACTGAACATAGATGGGAAAGTAATAACCAATATTGTGTTCTAACTGGACCGAAATCAGTTTTTGTCCTCATGGGAGAGAATGTTTGAGCCAATACTACAGGATAGAGGCTCAATCCAGACAAGATGAAGGTACTGTTGGTGGGAAGTCCATCCATCCAACTGGGGAATTTTCAACCTGTCCTGGACTGGGTTGCACTCCCACAATGGACAAGGTTTGCAGCCTTGGAGTGCTCCTGGATCCCAAGTTGTCACTTTTCAGGTGGACTCAGTAGCCAGGAGCACTTCTTACTAGCTCAGACTGGTTTATCGGCTGTATCCTACTTGGATGAGTGGGTATGTACAGTTAACTATGGTTATCCATGCACTGGCACCTGTGCCTGGATTTCTACAATGTGCTCTAGATGGGGCTGTCTTTGAAAAGGGTACTGGACAATGTAACTAGTCCAAAATCAAGAGGCACACCTGCTGACGAGGACTAGTTTTCATGAACTTATCACACCAGTTCTTTGCAGACTACATTAGCTGCCAGTTGCCTGGCTGCCAGTTGTCACCTGGGGCCAATTCAAAGTGTTTACCATCACATAGAAAGCCCTAAACTGCTTGGAGCCAGAATATTTGAGGGAACACCTGTCCCCATATGCCCTGATCCAATCACTGAGATCTTCATCAGTGGGCCTTCTCTGAATCCCTTCCTGCAATGAAGTCAGGGAAAGAGATACCTAGGAGAAGGGCCTTCTGTATGGAAGACACTTCTGATAGACATCTGCCAGGCATCTTCTTTTGTCTCTTGTCATTTAGATGCCAACTGAAAATGTTTTTCCCCTGTAAATTACTTTGGTGAATCCAGTTGGTTTTTATAATGGTTTTATTGTTGTTATTACATGTTAGAATTTTAGCTGTCAGACAATTTTTATTTCACAGGTTTGTTTTAAATTATTTTATTAGTAATTATGATTTTATTTCTACTGTTCCTTTTATTGTTCTGTTTTCATTGCCTTATCATCTATTGTCCATATCGAATTGTTTTATTTAATGCTGCTCAATGTAATATAAGCCACCCAGACAGACTTCAGGCTACAGAGTGCAGCATACAAGTGTGATAAATAAATAATATAGTGTTATATTCTGTTTGTGTGAAAGTGTTGTAAATCTAGCACCAGTTAATTGTAGGAAAGCAATACGTCAGGACTGTTAATGCACTCTGGTCTGAAAGCCACTTTGTTTTAGGATATAGAAAAAGGATTTCTGTCTCTACACTGTGCCTTGTATATTTGGAAAGGTATCAAGAGCTTGAGGCTTGAATGGAATCCACACTGTTCAAATGATGTCCCTTAAAATCACAGAATAGTAGCATCCCTAACAGATGGCTATCCAGCTGTATCATGAACACCTCTAGTATGGGAGGGCCCTCAACCTCTGGATCATTGTAATACATTTCCATGGTTATATCAAGCAGTTAATGTATATCTTCATTTAGAAAGTATGGCAAAGAAAAAGTTAAGTATTTAAATGAGCTTATTTTGCCTGAAGCTTTAAAAAAATGTACCATCCACCATAGAATAAGTTATCCTAAAAATAGCAATGATATTTTCCTGTCATTAACATTGGAGCAGAACATGAATATACAATCTGTATTGCCAAGACAATTCTTTGGCCCCCTAGAAAGCATCAACAGGGACACAAGTCTATAGATTCCCAGATCTGAGGTTCAAAAAGAGCTTTGACCTTGGAGCTGGGAATGTGTGTTTGGATCTTCCCCCCTAGCCACTTGTAGCCAAAGTGGAGAGAACCATACTGGTACCTTCTCTAAGGTTGTTGAGAACAACCCCAGGAAAGGAGTAAACTGGGCATTCTGGGGGGCAGAGAGGTGAGAAGACCAGGGCCACCAGAATATAACATCCTGATGATACTCCAGCCTCCTTCCCTTCTCCTATGAAGGGCCAAAGCTAGATAGCAGGGCAGGAGGAGCAGAGAGGCATAGACTGCCTCTGCCATTTTCCCCACCCTATATAGGATGCCCACAGTTCTTCAGGTTTGGAAGCCTCTGGATGCGTCATGGCAACCTAAGTCAAACTGCAGAGTCTGGAGAAGCCATCTTGCCTTTTTTTTCCCCTTCTGACCTTGTTTGTTTGTTTGTTTGTTTGTTTAGGATATTTGTATGTTGTCCTTTGCAAAAGCCTCAGGACAGCTTACACAAATAAAATACAAATATCTAACATAACATAAATTAATTAACGACTCACTCGACTTCACCCAACCTCTTGGAACAGTCTTCTATACTTTCAGTAGCCAAATAATCTTCCACCATCAGGAGTTATAATTTAACGAAGGCAACTTGTGAAACAAGCAATATGAACAGCTATGTGTCTTGGTTAAAACAGATGAGGAGAACAATCCTGAAACTACTTCTGTCAGCACAGTGAAATCAGAGCTCAGGAATTCTGCCACGCCCTTAATCAAAAAGTGTCATGAGTTAGGGTTCCTCCCTTTGCATTTTCAAAGGCACAAACCATTCCTGCAAAGGGTCCAGAGGAGGGCAACAAAAACGATCTGGGGTTTGAACCACTGCCCTATGAGAAGAGACTGAGAGAGTTGGGCATGTTCACTCTTGAGAAGAGAAGACTGAGGGGGAACATGATATCCCTTTAAGTACCTTAAAGGTTGTCATGAAGGAGGTCAAGATCTCTTCTAGCTGATACCAGAGTGTAAGACAGCCTTTGAGGACTCCAAGATGGGTGGGAATTTTTAACAAGGAAATTCTAAAGGTACAATTACAAACAATTCCAACAAGGAAAAAGGGTAGAAGACAACAGAAAATGCCCATGTGGCTTCACAGAAACCTTAGGGATGATCTGAAAACAAAAAAGGACATGTAAAGGGAGCAGAAGAAAAACCAGGCTACAAAGAAAGAATACAGGAAGGCAGCACAGAATTACAAGGTTGGCATCAGGAAGGCTCAAGCTAGGAATGAACTGAAGCTAAGCAGGGATGCTAAAAGCAACAATAACAAAAAAAAAAGGCTTCATCAGGTATGTCCAAAGTAAAAGACAGAAGAAAGAAATGGGAGTTCAACCAGTCAATGTGGGAGGCAAATGATAACAGATGCCAAAGAAAAGGCAGAAGTGCTTGACTCCTACTTTGGCTCAGTCTTCTCTCAAAAGAAGATTTATGACTTTCCTGGTGAATGGGAAGTACTAGCTGAAAGTTCAGGATGGCAGCTCAAGATTGATAGGCAAATGGTCAAGGATCATCTAATCAGGTTCAGATCTCCAGGGCCCAATGAACTCCATCCTAGAGTCATAAAGAACCTGGTGAAAGAACTCTTACAACCACTCTCCATTATCTTTGACAAATCATGGAGGACAGGGGAAGTGCCAGATGACTGGAGAAGGGCTAATATTGTCCCTAACTTCAAGAAAGGAATACAAGAAGAACCTGGGATCTACAAATCAGTCAATCTGACATCAATCCCTGGGAAAATAAAGCAGTCAGTCTGCAAACACCTTGAAAACAATGCAGTGATTACTAGAAGCTAACATGGATTTCTCAAGAACAAATCCTGCCAGATCAATCTGATTTCATTTTTCAATTGGGTAACCTCCCTGGGGGACTGTGGGAATGCTGTGGACATAATCTATCTTGACTGTAGCAAAGTACCCCCTGATATCCTGTTTAGCAAACTAGCAAAAAGAGGGCTAGATGGAACAACTATCAGGAGGATCCATAGTTTGCATCAGAATTAGACTCAAAGATGGCATCTTCTCAAACTGGAGACAGGTAACAAGTGGGGTACCACAGGGTACAGTCCTAGGCCCAGTGTTCTTCAACATTTTTATTAATGATCTGGGTGAGGAAGCGTAGGGAATGATGATCAAATCTGTAGAAGACACAAAACTGGGTGAAACAGCTAAAACCATGGAAGACAAAAAGAAGATTCAAGATGATCTTGATAGGTTGGAGCACTGGACTACAAACAAAAGAATTAAATTCAATAGGGACAAATGCCAAGTTCTGCTCCTAGGAAAAAAGAAACTAAATTTGTTGTTACAAGTTGAGGAATACTTGGCTCAACAATACTGTAAGTGAGAAGGCTCTTGGAACTGTTGTAAATCACAAACCGAATATGAGTCAATGATGAGATGCATCCGCAAAAAGGGCAAACACTATTTTAGGCTGCATTAACAGAAGCATCACTTCCCAATCCCATGAAGTAGTAGTTCCTCTTTACTCAGCACTGATTAGGCCTCA